AGAATGTAGAACATTTTCTTTATAAACTGTGTTATGCCAATTGAGCTAGACGTTCCCCGAGACCATGGTCCCCACAGCCCTCTGCTCAGCAATTCAGTCCCGAAGGGAGTTTGCATGTGTCTATGGAGCTTCCATAACCTTTCCTTGTACAAGTTGTGCTGGTTTCCCCAGTTTTGTGTACTGTCTTACCCTTCACCAAAGTTATCACTTACCTATTTAGAAATTTTACATTCCTTTTTAGTAGGTAACCAAAACAGGGTCACAAATTGAGACATTTTGAAATCTATAAAAATAACTTATTAGGAGTCTAGGCCTAGTAATTTGAACTCTTCTTCCCCTAATTGGCATCAAAATTACTAACTAAAACACACTAACTATTTGAGACACCAACTCTTTCTCAGACTGACTATATTAGGAAGATTGCAGAACCCTAAAAACATACACCCATGCTGTGTTTTAATTTTAATAAACAATCTTGTATTGGATTTTTAAGGCTAAAGAAAGTTAAGTCATAATAACAGAAGAATAAAAAGACAGTGGTTATGGTTACACAACACTGAACGTACTTAATGCCATGAACTGTATACTTTGAAATGATACATTTTATGTTATGTGTATTTTACCATAGAAAATAAAATAAAATTGTGTGGTAAAATTTACCGAAAAGAAGAAAGGAACAACGGGGGACAGGAACAGGTTTTCCAAAGACAAAAAAGCAAAACTTAAAAATAAGATTTGGGAATAGGTATTCCAGGAATTTGTCTCTGCTCCCTTGAAGTCCCTGGGTGGTGCAAATGGTTAATGCACTCGGCTGCTAATTGAAAGACTGGCAGCTCAGTCCACCGAGAGAAACCTTGGAAGAAAAGCCTAGCAATATACTTCTGAAAAATCAGCCACTGAAAACTCTATGTAGCACAGTTCTATTCTGACACACATGGGGTTGTCATGAGTCAAAATTGATAACTGCATCATTAACAAAATCTCCTTTTAATCTGTAGGCTGAAAAGTCATTTTAAAAAATTACTCTATAGGTTAGTAAGAGTCCTGGGGTGGCGCAAATGGTTAAGCACTGGACTACTATCCAAAAGGTTGGCAATTCAGAGGCACCTTGGATGACAAGCCTGGCAATATGGTCCTGAAAGGTCACAGCCTTGAAAACCCTATGTAGCACAGTTCTACTCTGCACACACGGGGTCGCCGAAAGTTGGAATCGGCTTGACGGCAACTGATAACAACACTCCATAGAATACAAACTACTGTTGGCAGACAGCAGGTTTCAAATGAGATTCTTAACAAATTTCTAAACAGCACGGGCTACTTAAGTTTTTAAATCATTCTGGATCAGATACAATACAAAACAGGATTAATAATATATAGTTTGAGTCTAGAAAAACACCCACATATTTATAACTGGTTTTCAACAAAGACAGTTCAATAGAAAAATGACAGTATTTTTAATAAATGATGGTCAAACTATGTATCTATATGCGAAAAAAAGAACCTTGCACCATAATAAAAAATTAACTCAAATGAATCACAGACCCAAATGTAAAATCTAAAACTATAAAACTTCTACAAGAATATATAGTAGAAAATCTTCGTGACCTCAGGTTAGACAAAGATTTCTTAGATATAACACCAAAAGCACAATTCACAAAAGAAAAAATTGATAAACTAGACTAGAAGAAAATATTTATAAATCTCATATCTGATAAAGGACTTATATCCAGAATATATAAAGAACTCTCACAACACAATAAGAAAACAACCCGATTTTTAAAGTAGACAAAACATGTGAACAGACACTTCACTAAAGACATGTTGCTGTTGTTAGTTGCCACCAAGTCGAGTCCGACTCATGGCAACCCCACGTGTGCAGAGCAGAACTGTTCCATAGGATTTTTAAGGCTGTGACTTTTCAGAAGCAGGTTGCCAGGCCTGTCTTCCAAGGCACTTCTGGATGGATTCAAACCACCAACCTTTCGTTTAGTAGTTGAGCACTTAACTGTTTATACCATCCAGGGACTCCTAAAGATGTACACATGGCAAACAAGTACATGAAAAGATGCTCAACATCATAGTCATTAGGGAAATGCAAACTAAAACGACAAAGAGATACCACTACACATCTATTACAATGCGTTTTTTAAAAAAAAAACAAAAAACTAACAATATCAAGCACTGGTAAAATTGCAGAGCAACAGGAACTCTCATAAATTGTTGGTAAGAGGCAAAATGGTACAGCCACTTTGGAAAACAGTTTGGCAGTTTCTTGTAAAGTTAAACACACACTTACCATACAACCCAACAACCCTGTTCCTAGGTATTTACCCAAGTGGAAGGAAAAATTTATGTTTACACAAAAACCTGACTGTGAATGTTCACAACAGATTTATTTGTATACTGGAAAACCCTAAATGTCCCTCAACTAGGGAATGAATTTAAAAAAACTGGTACACCCATACAATGGAATACTACTCAGCAATAAAAAGGAACAAACTATGAATACAAGCAACAACTCAAATGAATCTCAAATGAATTATACTAAGTGAAAGAAGCCATACTCAAAAGGCTACATATTACATGATTTCATTTATATGACATTCTAGAAAAAGCAGAACTACACAAGAAAACAGATCAATGGTTGCCAGGGGGCTACATACTAACTGTGGTGGTGGCTATGCTGTTATGTATTTTGCTGAGACTCAAAGAACCATACACTAAACAGGATGAATTTTATTGTATCTTAATGATACTGTTTTTTAACGAAAAAATGGGAGAAATGGTGATATTTGTACTATCTCCCCCTTCAAAAAATATAGTTTAAACATTAAAAAATTTTTAAATCCTGTTCTGTATGTTGATTATGGTGGTAGTTACAGAAATCTATACATGTGTTAAAATTCACAGAACTACACACCAAAAGAAAAGCCACTTTTACTGTATGATAATTAAAAGAATAAAAGTAAAACAAACCAAAAAGCATGCATAGAACGTAAGAAGCTAGTACTAGAGGTTAACTTCGGAGAAAAGAATTGGGTACCTAAAAGAGAGATGAAATAGAGACCCTATTTTTAACTGCTTATCTTTTTTCCGCTTGAATTTCATACTTAATGTATTTATTTTAAAACTAATTATAAAATATTTCATCATAAATTCATTTTAAATAGTGTGGATTCAAAAATACATACAGTTTTGTTTTAAAAGTTCAAAGATATATACAAAAAGGAGATCATGATTTCTACTAGGTTATTTGAAACATTAAAAAAAAAGTTTATACATTAGTTATAATAGTCACAAACTACAGCTCATTTTCTTGCCAGTCTTCTCAATAACAGACACTAGAGTCACCCTTGTGTTGCTGAGAAGTTAGCTATAAAAAAAAATGGGCATCTACCAATCACCTACAATGTAATCCCAACTGCAGTAAATTACTATTTTAAAAAATTAATCAGTTGAGATATGAAAAAAAAGTGAAAAACATCAAACCATCTGGATTGAGAAATTAAATTTTTTTAACCAAATGATCTTTTCAACGAAACCAACAAGTCTATATATATAAAAGCAAATGCATCCTGCTGGTATTTTAAACTAATTCAGTCTAAATTAGAGGTTGTTTTAAAATGAGATGAGCTCAATATTAGCAGTTTACTCCTGTGATATTACTAAACAGTACATTTGTAACAGCTACCTTCTGAGGACAAATCGGTATCGGGCACTGTATCAAGGTACTACACCGGCACTATCTTAACTGATCCCCTCAATGACCCAACAAGTAGGCATCACTCGTTGTTCCCATTTTCAGATGTAGAACTCAGAGTGTTAAGAAATTTGCTCAAAGTTACTTAAATAATAATTGAAGAAGCCCAAATTCCAAACCCAAGCCCCTGTAACTTCAAAGTTCATGCTCCTTCAGTTATGCTACTTTTCTACTTTTCCAGGGGAGAAAGGCAAGAGTAACACTGGGAGAACAATATCACATTTTCCATAGCTATTACAAACTTAAAATGCAGACAATAATCCCTGCAGCATTTCTCTAATATTAAAAAACAAAAACGGGAAACAAATGTCCAACAGTTTAATACTGTTTTATTAATGGAACAAACTATTAGGGAGTCAATATAAAACTTTTTAAAAATTATAGAGAACTATGTTAAT